CTTTGCGCCGTGGGCTGATGCCCAATCCTGCGGAAGGTTTAGCTGACGTCCATCGCGTTCCTTTCCGCCCAAGCGATCACCGCTTCCTCCAGTTCAGAAGCCCATAAGTTGAGTTTTTTATTGCCCGTCACACTTCATGTGGGTCACCCTGTATATGACTCGCTTCGGTTATAGAGCAACTTTCGTGCCGTAGAGGTCAATAAAAAAATGGAGAAGCTAGATTCACATTAGGGGCTCTCTTGAGGCTACAGGGCTGTGTAGCTCAGGGTTTTAATCACTATTATAACCCGTCGTCCCGTTGATCATCGATTTTCTCGAGGGACAACAGAAACGTCTGCATTGCTGTCTGAAGATAGCGTAGTAGAAGATAGCGTCCAAGTATAGATATCAGATTAGGGCAGTTTCCTTCCCCTTTTGTAATAAGCTAACGAGCCTGACTGCCACGCTAGTGGCCGTCCTGGTGGTTGTTTGACGTCACAGGACATCCGTTCAGTGACCGCTCTGGTCCAACGGTCATCACGATAACGCATAGAGTGTCTGGCCCACTTGATCTTCGAATTCTTAGTTCGGACGCAATGGCATTCCTGAGCTCCGTTTGTAGACGGAGCTCGGAATTCCGGATTTCCTTCTGCACTAGCGTGCACAGGAAAATTCCGAGCATCATCTTTTTCACAGCACGTTGAATGACGTTGACTGCATGTTCATCCTGCTTTCGTAAAGTCCAAGTATAGATATCAGATTAGGGCAGTTTCCTTCCCCTTTTGTAATAAGCTCGACGCCATCAACAAAATCTGTTTTTCCCTAGGCTAATGTAAGGAAAGCTGGTCAAAGCTTGACGCTTATCGTAGAAATCGCGAAAACCTCCTGAAGTTATGTTTTGCATTTTAACCAGAAACTCCATTTTTAGCCTTCCCTCGCTTTACTGGCAATCAGGACGTATTGAGCTGTGTAATCTTGCAATTTATCCTCATTGATAAAATAGTTGGGGATTGACGTCAATTATAAAAATCAGACAACGAAACGTCATTATGTTTGTTCCTGGTGGAACTTAGAGTTAACCCATTTTTGTTATGTGAGACCGCTTTTGCGGTTGGCTTCTTTACGTCCCTGATTCCGTCCCAAAATTAAGTTCTCATAAGAAAATTTTGAGAGATTCGAAAACTAGTAAGCGTCGGAATTCTTACAGTTCTTGGTAGGCCTATTGTAGTTGCATATCATGATAAACACTCCATTTTTACTGAATTGAGATTGTTTTGAATGGGCCTTCGAAAGTAAACCTGGCCGTTTTGCGAAAGCAATGGAATGGGCAAAGTAGAAAAGGTAAAAAGATTCGATGATTCGTAAAGAGAGTGGCTGACCAGGGTGACGCTTATTTGAATCCATTTCCGTTGGAAATCTTCTTCAATCACTATATCTGACGTGTTCTATATTCTGATTCTCTGGGCTCTATGGGCTCTACCTGAAAATTCCTTTTTCAAGGCAGGTCGTACTCCACTTCATTACGCTGCAGCTGACCCAAATGGCGAGCATATGATCAAAGTTCTACAGAAAGCCGGTGGAGACGCATTCATCGACGATAAGGTAGTGCATTATGCTTTTCGAACTATTAGATTCGACCGATTACCACTTTTTTTTATAAACTTTTGTTGTTTTTGATTCGAATTGACTGATTGGAACGAATGGGTACTCATGTAGTGTATCTGATTTATATTCAGCATGGTCATACACCTTTCTATTACCGTACACATGGACAACGTCTGAATATGCGCAGTATGAAGGACAATGCTGTAATGAATCAGTTGATGTCTGGACAACTGAATCGAACACTTCTACAAGGTGAGGCCAAGCTTAAGCTGAGGCAAAGCTTTGTAAATGGTTCCCACACTTCCATAAAGGCACAGTTCACGCCTAATTTTTTTCCTGAGAGTTCCTCACAAGATAAATTGTGGACCCCAAACATAGTACGTGCGACACTTCCGGGTCGAAAAACGATATCGACAGGGTGCTATGAGGGTCCTGTTCCTCACCGCTTGAAAAAACTTTGATACTGAAGCTGTTCAGATCTCGAAGAAGATATCTATGATTGGATTCATACGGGAAATGTCGGCAAACTCGAAGAACTTGTCCTCACGGGCTACGGAGATTTGTTGCTTGGTAGAAATCATGAGGTTCGTTTCATTTCTTTCTCGTCGTAAAGACCGATGGCCATCAGTAATTCATAGCAGTAAAGACATAGCTCCGCTGCCTACCTGCTAGAATAGGTGCATGTGGTTCTGAAAATTCAATCGCATTATGCCATCGCTCTAAAGCGCTGGTTTGGCAAATAATATTCTCATAGTTACGTACACAGTGTTTGTCGTCAATAATCAATGTTCATCGGAGATCGTAGTAGTTTCTGTGTGGGACTATACTCTTCTGTTATGAGAGTTTTTTTTGAACATTACCAAGCAGCAAGTTAGTTAATCATTTTTAAGGTGGAAGATGCAGACAGTATTGGCTTCTTGGAAGTGCTACCACAGTACCAGGTGAGCTGGCAGCATTATTCCCGAAGACCGAATCCTGTCCACTTACGCATTGAGCTATACTTTCAGGCCAAAGTGCAAGCAATTCACAAAGCTGTGGAAACCGGGAACCTTCGAGCAGTGCGGCTATTGACGGATCGAAAGAAGCTTGCCCTATGTCGAGACTCAAGGGGTTTGAGTCCCCTGCACAAGGTTTCTAACGAATATTTCGAATTGCGATTACTGCTTCATTTAGAGGAAAGACATCGTTATTTAGTTTCTAGAATTAATCTACTGAGAGTTCGTGGTGGAATTGAGAATTGAGGCCCGCGATAGCTGAACAAGCCTGATATTCCTTTTTTTAAGTAGGAACAAGTTGCGATTGACTTCTTTTGAGTTGATAATCACAATGATCTTTGAACTTTTCCATTGAACCTCCGAAAACGTTGAAACTTTCGTAGTGGCTGGAGTTCGTCTCAATCGCCTTTTTCGAAGCCGAGACAAAACTCAAGAAGTTCTCACAGAGATAAAAAAGAAAAAAAAAAGAAATAATGCCCTAATTAGAGGAATTTTCAGACTTCGGAAATTCCCAATTTGCTAACAATCATTGGATCACCCCATTATTTAGGCAATAGTCTTCGATCGAGCCGATATCGCCAAATATCTCATCCGAAATTATCCACATGCAGTGAATGCTATGGATCAGGTATGTAATATGAGTTGATAAGAACCAAATGTCCCTTGTCAGTAACTGTTACATTGCCTTTCCAACTAAGAAGTAGAAACACGATTCGATTAAATTGTTGCTCTTGTTGATGGTACTTTTCGTGGCAGTTTATATGTGGCCACTTTACAGAGTTTGACAAAAGCTCAGTTATTTCCAGAAAAAGCGAACACCACTGCACTATGCAGCAGCGTATCGAGATGGAGGATATTTGTACAAAATGATGCGCAAAAGTGGAGCGGACCCAAATATTTACGATTGTGTAAGTAGGTCCCACTCTCCAAGAGGACCATCAAGCCTATGCTTATAAATTTTAGAATGGACGTCCAGCCAAGTACTATTTGAAGCATAATGGGGAAATTGACCTCTCGGCTATGAGACTCGATACGAAAGCTGCCTTGAAGCAGGTAAAGAATGACTGTGATAGAGCCAGTCAGAGCCAGTCTAATTTTCAGTTGTTCTGAAATCGGATCGAGTGTTCAGGTTCTACATAACCGTGTGGCACCCAGCTATCTGGAATCTTCCATCCAACAATGGTTACGAGATGGTCAACTGGCAAAGCTTGAGCAACTCGTACTTTCTGGTGGGTTCAAGTCGCCTAATCTTTATTTTTTCACTTACTTGTGCAGCACATGGAAAGGGGGTCATAAAAAATGAATTTCTTATCACAGTCGTTGGCGCCCTTCCATTACGGGGAATGGTAAGGGTGCAACACCGAATGGAATTTCTGAACAAAACCACATCCCATCTTCATGGTAACCGCTTTTCAGGATGCGGTGACCTCCTTCAGAACAGAAACGCTACCAATGCGGATACTGTCAATTTCCTCGAAAACCTACCGGAATACATGGTATCAGCAACGCTATCATTTCAGCACTATTTGAAAATACATTCTAACTTGATTGAGGGACAAAGTGTGATTTTTTTTCAAAACAAATCGATTCCATCTGCAGGAAAGTCTTTGATATGTATCCAGAGTCACGGGTAAAGTTGAGGAAAACTTTCTTCTAAACTACTCTACTAAGGCTATCTGAACATTTTCGACGAAGGCGTATTCAAAGGGACAAGTGATTCGGTGAAAAGTTAATGAAGGAAGTTAAATGTATGAATAACTACAAAACAAGGAAGTTCCCTTTAATTTATAAGTACTGTACTGTTAGTGACACCCTTACCTCTTTTCCGAGTTTCTCACATTTGTATTCAGCAAACAATTTTTATATCTTTGAACATCGTACTTGAACAACTCTCTTGACTAAACTCGAACCGTTCATTGTGCTTGTTAGGAATTAAATTCGCCCGTATGTGAAGGAGGTTAAATTCCTAATACTAATTCTTCATTATGGGATCCACAATGAATATGTAGGAACGAAATTAAATTTTCGAATATTTCCTATTGTGATCATTGCTTCGATGAACTAGAATGGAGTATTTAAGAGCAAAATCGACGGAATCCATCGAGCCATAAAAGAAGGCGATTTGGAGAAGGTCAAGTCGCTTATGACATCGAAGAAACTGGCAATAGGTGAGAAAATGTATCAATCCTTGTGGTCATTCATCTTCATCAGAGTCCTATTCTAAACCTTTTTCCTGCCTTACCTATTTCATCTGCATTTGCAAATACTGAACTTAGGAGTCAGATTCTATTCAGTAGCTGCAAAATTTATTCCCAAGCATCTTTTGTTTGTTTGTGCGATTTTGCGATCAATTCCTGATTGAACTTTGGGCGTGTTGACGTCTAATTTTGACTATTTCCAGCTCGAGACCGATTTGGCTGTACCCCGCTGCATGCTGCTGTCGTGCATGAACACACAGACATTGTTCGCTTTATAGCCGGACATTTCCCTTCTGTACTGAATGCACCAGACTATGTGAGCCTTCTTTTCTGGCTTTCGCGGTTCTAGTGATAGATTATATCGTCTCAGAATAAACGCACATCGATGCATTACGCAGCAGCAGCTCGTGATGGTGGCCATTATCTGAAGATCCTGAGTAAAGCTGGAGCCGATCCAATGGCAGTTGATAATGTAAGGAAGAATACAAATGAAATTGTAAAAATGTGAATGAGATGGTTTCAGGAAGGTCGCACACCGGATTACTATCGAAGGAATGCCGTCATCGACCTGAAAATGATCAAAGATCGAGATGAAGAATACGAAGTAGTGAACGAAGAGTTGTTAGACGAAGGTCCTATGCTCGAAAGCCCTGGCAGCGGCGAAAGCGGATCAGAAGGGTAAGGGACCTCAGGCAGCTCCAGTCTAGTTACCGCTTTTTGATTCTCAGCTCGGGTTTAGGGATTTTTTCCGCCTTTTGAGATTTATGCAATATCGCGCATTCAGTTTGGAGATAAATGGGAGTTAGAATGGAGACTAATTGAAAGCATTTTTCAGTACAGGGTGTATTACCGTATTTGTAAAGATTTTATAATACAGTGCGTAAACAAAAAGTCAGGACCGTTCCCTTACTGGCTTCGGCTTCAGTCGGGTGTGAGCTCAGTTACTGTTGAAGCCAGATTCTGGTCATGACATTCCTTTTTTTCGGCTTGGGCATTGGTGTGAGCTTCCAACAAGTCCCAGTAAGGTTTTACAAATCAATCTGATTTTTAAGTCATCTATCAAATTCCCAATTCCTACGAAGGCATTTTTGGAAAAGGCAAAGAGGCAAAATTGTTTCGGTCTTTCTTTACTACCTTCTTCCCTCTGTTAGGAAGGATTCTGATCACACTAAAGTACTTCGTTAGACCATCAACTGAAAAAATTAACTATCGAGCGCTCTCGTTCAGCTCGCCTATGGATTCAGCCCGCCTCAACGATGATGACGATGACGTTGAACGGAATCGTTTTGAGAAAATGGTGCTGGGTCGCACTGATATGCCAACCTCTGAAAACGGCATCTATCTGGCTCGTACTGTTGCACCGGTACTTACAAAAGCACTTGCAGAGGTTCGTTCGAAGTACGGTATTGTGTGTATGTACGTCTGCAAAGCCAAATGCTTTTTGTCCAGGTGCTGCTTCGTCGTCCTGCTGACCCTATTGGTTTCATTTCGGATTACCTACAAAAGTATCATGGCGAACTTGCTCATCGATCAAATGGAAAGCTGAAATGAAATTAAAAGATTTCGCAGCAGTGATAACTGCATCCATACGTGTAGTTACCCATAGCTAGGATTGTCCCAAGCAATGCAAATTTGTTAACCATTTCATTGGAGTGAGGTAATGTTCCCAATTGGTAGTTCAGGGGATTCGCCACGAACATCAAATACGAACATTTTCTCGAATCGTAGAATCGTAGACGCTGAAGTCGTGTGAGACGGAATTGGTTCTTTCCAATCGCGCAATTCCACGATTGGCTATATCCAGCGGTATGTTGCGCTAGTGATGAACTTCTCCAGTTGTGACTATTACCTCACGCCCACTCATCACTGGTAGGCCTGATACTCATGCTTGATCACGTGTTTTCAGTTCGTAGTTTTTGAGTGTTATAATTAATGGAGATCAATGAGGTGGAGTTATAGGTTGCCATTATACTAGGCGAATAAGCTATCAGGGAACGACAACTAGACAGCTCGGCTTGTCAGATGGCAGGAACGCTGTCAAGTATCGAACTCGCAGAAAATCCTGTTTCTGTCAAGTATCGAACTCGCAGAAAATCCTGTTTATGTTTGGTAGTCAGGGTAGCAGAATCGCCTAGTATGATCCAGTTGGTACAAAGTTGAGTGCAGCACAGTCTTCCTTCAATGTCTTCGGTGTGTAAAATTACTCGTTAAAATGAATCATAACTTGACATTATACTGTATCTCATTTGTGTACTATGTATATCCGTTAGCCATTGGAAAACTCGTGCGCATTATCCACCACACCTGAAGAGTAGGCAGTAAGAGTATGAGGAAGGAAAGGGTAGGCGCTCAGGTATAGCTGTGGGTTTGAGTGCACTGTTGAAGAGTGGCGAAGGGAATGTAAATCTTGACGAATGACAGCTGATTGTTTACCTGTCATCTAGTTCCAGTTTTGAGCTATTTTGCTGTTAAAAATTGTTGTACTGCCTAGTGTAGCTAAGTTCGCGATCAATCGGCTCCCTATACTACCCTGCGGAAGCATTGGACGTTGAAATTGATTAAGTTATATTAGGAATTGGCAGTAAATAGCAAAGAGCTCTAGGAGGCCTCCCCGTTCAGCTTCAAAACGAAAAGTGGCTACAGTTTCTCTGACTGTGCACTAGAGTCCATTGTAAAGACTGCGTCTGCCAGGTGGGATGCTAGAACAGTAGTTATTTCTCATTTTTTCCAACTTCTTCTATCTCAACATATTTTTCGCTGTGCTAGACTCAAGAAGTTACTGCCTTGCAGACTCGATAAGGGCAATAGTGATTGCAAAGAAGGCTATAGAAAAAATGATTTTTATAGCTCAAATCTATTTTCAATTGATAACTGCAGTGCCTGCAAAAAAAAAGGCTGAAAATACATGCAGAGAAGAAATCATTTTCGAACATAAAATACCCATAGGTAAGTTATTAGAAAAGGTATCTAACTCATTCACAGGGATAAGCTCTTGGAGCTGCCTATTACGAGACTGATAAACAGGAATCACTATTGTGACTGATTAACAAAGAAAACTACAAATATATACAATGAAAATATCTGAGAATACCCAATAAAATAGTGAAGATTCGCTTCTAATAACGTTTTGACAAAGACTCCGTATAGATCATACGACTGAGATTCTATATTCGAATCGTAAAAGACTTAAATGGGTTAGGAGATGCAATATGTAAGAATGCATATCAATCTGTCAAAGGTAATATAGGTGATTAGAAATGTTCTGTACGCATCAACTCATCTATGTGTTGCGATGGTCGCACTTGATCGTACACTACGAAAAATGGCACCACCGGGCCTGAGTCTCATTTGGAGACTTGATAAATAAGGATGGAAGAGCTTGACTGTCCCTCTTTCCTGAAAAGGTCAGCCTTTGATGAAGAAATTTGCAACGTCGAAATTCGAATTATGTCACTAGGAAGAGGAGAAATTCCGCACTCTGTTCAATTTTGAAGCATTACTTATATTGGAGATGACAAAGGAAACACGAGTGCAAGAAAAACAAGTAGAAAAAGAGCGACAAACCTTAAATAATGTTCAGCAAATTTTCTACCAAGATCAGTTGGATCGCTGAACGCAACTCTAAACAGAGTTCATTTCATTCAGCTCGGAATCCCTGTGAACGAATGGACAAACCTATTTCTTGGCACGAGCACTCCAGTGAAGTACCATTTCCTAATGACGTCAAGGATTTCGCTAGCAGTGCCTTTCCTTCTTGCAGCGAAATGCGTCCATAGACGGTTTACACCAATTATCGGTTCGCCATCACGTATAGTCTGGAAAGCACCAATTAAAAGTGTATATAAATATAAAGGGAAAAAAACTGACCCCTCCCGTAACCGAACACTGCGCTGACAAGAGAGGCTCCGTCACGATGACACCAGCGATATAATATGTAGAACCCTGAAATATTCCCTTATATGGGGATGACGAGAACCCCATTCCGACATTGAGAAAATGACACTGATAATTGTGATGGCTTCGGAAGAGAACCATCGGACTAAAAAGAAATTTCTGTGAAGACGACATGATGGCAGCCAATACAAACTGCTGTACCCAACTCAATGAGGTTCAGTTATTTGAAAAGAAGAGTGGAAACTGTTCGTAAATGGAAAAAGTCAAAGTAACTGGAAAAAAGAAAAGTCAGTGAATAATAAAAAGATGAGTAGCCATAGGCAGAGAACACTGGTGGAGGACAGGAAGAGCCGCACTAAGGAAGGCGAAAAGCCTATTTTGTTCGCCTTGAAGTCTAAACGAACCTCGCTAACAACTGACGCCCACACGGTCCTCCTCTCATCCCAACCCCAAATTGAAAGATCGGAAGCGAATCCTACACTTGGGTTAACAATTTCCTGAAAACTTCAGTTTCGTGTTGGAACGTCACTATGGAACTCGACGTACCTCAATTACTAGTTCTACTTTCCGTTTGAGGGTAGACCTGGAATGTGGATGGATGCGGAAAATTGTTCCATTAGGAGAATCATAGTGACGTTCTCTTCTGAAGCGGCCTTCAGCTGTCAATCTAATTGTGAGATGCAGATAAAAATAAACTGACCTAAGCCATAGACTGAGCTGTGATGAAGATACTTTCACTTCGGCGATATCGAATAGCCTATTGTGATGCTTTTTGTGCATTTCCACCTCTGCCACACTTTCGATAGAGTACATCATGTCACACTGAAACAATGATTTTAAAGGAGTAAGAACAAGTAAAGAATTATTTATAGGCCACGAAGACATATAAAAAACCTTTGGGCCGCAAAACAATTCCATGTTCTAGAAAATAGCCATCATGAGATTGACGAAGTACTCTACTCGTTAGCAAAACGGCTGAGCCGAACACTTTAGAGGGCTGACGCTTCAACTCCCAATTGGACTGAAGACTAGNGACCTAAGCCATAGACTGAGCTGTGATGAAGATACTTTCACTTCGGCGATATCGAATAGCCTATTGTGATGCTTTTTGTGCATTTCCACCTCTGCCACACTTTCGATAGAGTACATCATGTCACACTGAAACAATGATTTTAAAGGAGTAAGAACAAGTAAAGAATTATTTATAGGCCACGAAGACATATAAAAAACCTTTGGGCCGCAAAACAATTCCATGTTCTAGAAAATAGCCATCATGAGATTGACGAAGTACTCTACTCGTTAGCAAAACGGCTGAGCCGAACACTTTAGAGGGCTGACGCTTCAACTCCCAATTGGACTGAAGACTAGGCAAACACCCTTATGACCAAAACTATCCAGGACGCTCACTATTCCATACATACCTCTCTGCAATATTGTCCTCCAATTTTTTGTTGACCAGCATTTAATGTAGTTTGTTTTGAATCATGTTCATCGACAGACAGACGAGGCTTCTTCTTTGTGGACTGCTTTGGAGTCAAATCGAATATTGGCATTCTTGGACTTAGCGAAGATTTCTTCGCAATGGGTGAAGAGAAGAACTCAGTAATCCTTTTCTGCTCCTGCATTGCGCTTACGGCCACTGAAGAGCACAAAACATATTTCAATCTCAGTAGATGTACAACAAAGTTTCAAAGGGCATATACTTGACACACAATTTTCAATGCCTATTGAATCGATTCAAACAAATACTCGTGAATCCAATGATTGTAAGATAAATAAGGCTTTAAAGAACGTTAGGGATAATGAAGAATCAGACACACCCCCCAACATAGCAATGTAACAAATCCGCGGTTACACGTTGCCACAAATGGAAAAGTTGCACAAATAACAAAGCACAGAAACCGCTCTAAACATGAGCTTAAATGAAAGTACTGGAATAATTCAAAATCTATTTCTTCCCGCCTTAGGTCATTATCATTCGGGCGCGATTCTGTATTTAGAGCGTAGCGTATGGCAGCTTGGACATGTGCAACCTTTTTGAAGGATCGGAGAAGCGTTGAGCGTAGTTGGGTCCTTTTTCAACGTTCTCAGAATATAATTCGATCTCTGGTTTCATTGTTTCTGTTTCTCACTCCTTTTGCGATTCCCCGCCTTCTCCAGGACTAGATGTAAGTCATGATAAGAAGTAAGTAGGTCATTGTAGTTTAAGCTCCAAATATTACGTAGGAAGCTTCAATTATTCTGTTTTTCCTCGCTGGAATTCCCCTACGTTCCAAGGCCTTTTTGCTTCCATTCCATTATTGTGTTCGATTTCTGATTGTTGTGCCCAAAATTGGTCCTTTATGATTGTTCTCCGAGTATGGTTTTTCAGACTTTTCTTGCTTTACAGGAGTTTATGTGAAAGTTTCAAGCATGTCGAAATCTGATTTGGAGAAAAAAGGTTGGTTACTTATCGTTTCGTGAGCATAATGCCAATTCTCAATTGCTTTTTCTTTTAAGCCTTCACTAAGATACCCGAGTACATGTTAGAGCAGAACAGGCCCTACAGTGCCATTGATGTGTTTACCAATCTGAAGCAGGAATTCGGAAAAACGGTGTGTCATATGTATGTCCACTATTCCATTCAGTTTCTACGTATCGAAAAGAACGCATTCCAGTTAGTACTGAAGGTTTTGGAATCTTCCGTTTCTTCTGGCATTCTGAAGGACAAAGTGATAGGAAAACAAAAAATCTTTTACGCGAATCAGGTATTTCTTTTTATGTCGAAAATTTCTTTTTTAGAGTTTGGTATTTTTGTTGAATCTACTGATCTGGTCCAGATTGAAATGCATTTGCAGCTAAAGTTAGTTCTGGTCAATTTTTTGAATTGTCCTCTCGCTCGGTTAAGAATCGGTCGGCTGAAAATAGCCGTAGGACCATTTGCACAGAGTCTATCTTTTCAAAGACTATTGTTTTCTAGTGATCCTTTAGGCGTAGGCAGTCGATCTTATGGTTGTAAAGTCGACTCTACGCCCTCTAGTATACTTAGGGAGTGCTTGGTGTGGATAACGTTACAAGCCCGGCACATCTGAAGATACAGTTATTGGGAGGTTTCCTGATTTATTTTGTTGCAGGACAAACTTGAAAAATACGACGAAGCTGCCATCGCTGATTGTGATTCAAGAATTAATTCGCTTTCTGAGGAAGTGAAGAGTTTGACAGCGAAGTACAAGGATATTCAGACTGGTAAGCTCCGGGTACTAGAACTAAGTACGAACTCCGGATAAACTTGCTACAGAATTGCGAGACTTGAGCAATGTTAAAACAACTGCAGAATTGCGTACCCTGACTTCTACTATCAAGACGAATGTAGGTTTCTTTTGGCAGAGCTTCCAATCAATATTTCTATTTGCTTGTTTTTTTTCTCAAGATTGAAAATATGAAAGCTCGGATCACTAAGCTGGAAACGTCAAGAGATGCAGCAGCAGCGGAGGATGGTAAACGAGCCCTTCAGGTGGAATCAGCAATTTCGAAAATTGTGCAAAAGCGAAAGCGGCTGGTGAGCATTCCTTAACTTTTCCCTTTTTTAGCTTGGCTGTAATTAGTTCTAACTATCTTTCAGCTATATCCTTATAAATAATAATTTTAGGCCACAGACATGTTGAATGCTATAATGGAGAATTCGCCGCTTCCTAAACGAGAACTATTGGTGAGTTGATGGCGTTTCTTTCGGGAACGTATTTCTCATCATACCATTCAGGATTCCATGGGTGTTGAACTAGACTGAGTTGGAATTATGCTACTGTGATATGCTCTCTTCCAACATAGAGATTGCCGTTAAAATTACATTCCTTGTAAAGTTCTTCGCCATTGCACAATTCATTACGATACATTGTTGCTTGTTTATTGTTATGTAAATATGAACCTGTTAAGGTGTGAAATTGTGTTTTTTGTTTCGTCATTGTATCATGTTGCTATTTATTTTTATAGAAATATCAAAAAAGGCATTTCATAAAAGTGAAAACAAGGATTGATCGCAAAACTGTTTGGTGTTCTTCGATGCTGCGAGCTGCTCCTGTATCGCTGAGATTAAATTGGTTTTTGGGATATAAATGTGAATAAGTTTTCATCTAGATGGAAACAGAAGAAGGATTCCATAGCGTCTCTAGCAACACTCCTCGACAACTTACCGAAGCTGAAACTAATAAGTTGCTGCAACAGGTATACCAATTCCAGTGTCGTAATACATTTCCATATTTATCATTTTTCGACTGTTCAGGACATTGTCAGTGACTTCAAGCAACGAAAATTAGAAGCAGAAGCTCAGAAAAACTGGGACAAGTTCTACAATAGAAATCGAGAAAATTTTTTCAAGGATCGTAATTGGAGCAGTCGAGAGTTGCAAGAGATTTGTCATGACATGGATCTAACGGTATGCTTCTACATTTGGATGTTGATCTTATAGCTAAATCACATGAACAATGCTCAATTGATTCTAACAATTCAGAGGCCGCTCGTCTTTCTGGAAGCTGGTTGTGGTGTTGGAAACATGCTGTTTCCACTCAAAGAAGCCTTTCCGAACTTTAGCATTCAAGGATTCGATTTTTCACCTCGTGCCGTTAAAATGTGCTCGGATAGAGCAAAACAATTAGGGGTATGTTAATCATAATTGCTATTACTTGTTGGAATACCTTTTATGACCAATATGCGATTTTAACATTACAGATTGGATTAGAGACTGCGCTCGTTGATCTTTCTATACCGTCGGAAAAATCAGAATTCGAGGAACAGGCCGATATTGCGACGCTTATATTTGTTCTTTCGGCCATTCATCCGGATAAGCACGCAAACGCTGTGAGGAATATGCATAAATATGTCAAAGTGAGCAGACTACTTGTTGTTTAAAATTCCATTTTTTCGTATTTCGAAGTCTAGTCTACTATTGTCTGATTCTTTATAAAAATCTCCTTTCTCTCTCTTTCTTAGCTGTTAAAATTAGTTGAAATTTCATTGCTTGTGGAGAGGTTTAGAACTCTCTAGTTCTTCCTTGTTGGGTTACAGAAAGCGAGTTGAACATGAATCAGTTATACATGTACTGGTCACAGTGATGAAATCAAGTGCAAAAGCAGTAATCTACGGTGCAGATAAAGCCGTATTGAGGGTACTGTAAAAATTATAGTTGATGTATAAGTAAGTAACTCGCTGTCCGGTCATGCTGACCTTCCATCAGTCTAATCACTCGCTTTTTTTTGTTAGGTGACAATACATGTGATTTTTTCCAGACCGGCGGATCTGTGATTGTGAGGGATTACGGTGCTAACGATTATGCAATGATCCGTTTCGGACATGGTGCAAAGCTTGCTGATCGTTTTTATGTCAGGCAAGATGGAACCCGAGCTTTCTACTTCCTGATAGGTAGCCTTTTTTGGAATAATACATAGAAGTGACCTTGACCCTTCAATCATTGCTCGAAGCAGTCCTGAATAACAGGAGTCGAAAGAGCACCAATGGCTTGATGATACGCCTTTTACAGAAGAGTTGGAGAAACTATTCGATGCGGCTAGCTGGAAATGCGTTCATAAAGAATATCTGCACAGGCAAACGGTCAATCATCAGAAGCAACTGAGTGTACCAAGGATATTTGTGCAGGCACGATTTGTAAAACTTTAAATTCTAGTTTTCTTTCATTTACTAGTGTATTGCATCTGCCTGTTGTTGTCGGCAGAGAGGAAGTATACCCCTAGCACTTCGATAGCCAAAGATGGATTACAGGAGTGGATTCAAACACTTTCTTCTTAATGTAACCCAATAATCTTTCATGAAGTGCTAGTATCTCCATCAAATATAACAGTTGACTTTGCTCATGTATAATACTTTGAATATTAGCTAATACGTGGTAGTTATAGAGAAAATCCGCCAAAATCGCAAGTTTCCATACCTAGACGTGAATGTTGTTCCTTCGATATTTTCCAAGATCCCTTCAGACTTGTTCCGTTGCTGTTGCGAGTCCTGTAGTTGGTTGGAAGTCCTGATAATTGATTGGCTTTCTGAGAGATCCCATCAAAGACCAGTACAAGCGGTAAAATCCCGTGACGTATCTGACCCATCCGATTTTTATTGAAAGATGGATGGTGTGGTGACTCGGGATTTGTCCGTCTTCGGTAGTCTCCCACAGAAATTATTAAGCGAGCTCGCCTGCTGCTCATTAAGGGCTACAGAGCTGTTTAGTTCGTCATGATGATTTCCGAGGCGTGCATTGCATATTTCATATGCATACAACTTGATACATTCCGACTGCTTCGCTTACCCAGATATTTGCCTTCTGGCACAGCCAAACTGATGATGTGTTTTCTAAATAGGGAACGAATGCTGACAGAAGCGCAGCGATGAGATTTCCGATAATCCAAAATATGTTTGGCAAATAAGCTTCCCGAATAGATTTTAACTTTCCTTCGTTGGTTTCGTTGGACATAGATTGATCGCTGGATTTTCAAGACTGGTGCCTTAAATTATATTGCGAGCTTTGTACTGATTGAAGTCTGCGACTGTTATTCAGATATTCTATAAATATTTGTTACCAGAAATGTAGTTATTGCTGTGAATTCTACTGGAGAACGATTTCGGCATTATCTCCATCAGGGTGATTTTGAAGCCATTATCGTACGGCTATAAAAAGCTTTTCTTTTTCTGCAAGGCATTCGATGATGTGCAAGAGATCTTAGGTGCTGAATATGTTTGGCATTCCTAGAATTGCGTCTATACGTCAAAAAATCGGGTGAGTGAGTCAGGTATGTTCCGGTAGGTTAGGCCTATGGTTCCTCCTCGATCCTTCATGAGCATTAGTTGCCACTTGCTTCACTAATACATATGAAAGATGATTTGGACACAAATTCGGTATATGCTTAGTTCTGCTCTTCGCAGGTTGCGATTTGTGAGGGGATGTAATTTTTGAGGAGTTGCGTGGAAGTTAACGCCATCGGGGTCTTTTCCAAGTGCGCTACTGAAAGTTGATAGATGTTGTAGCAGCTATTGATAGCGAAGCTCGAATTTTGATGTAAAAAGATCCCTCCTTGCTGCTATTGGCCTTTCAGTACAGTTGAAATCTGCAGTCTATTAGAATCAATCTCTCATCTGACAGAGG